TTTAACTTGCTGCATAACTTCCTTCCTCTGTGTGTAACCTTCCCAGCCTCTGCCAGCACTTCTCGTCACCACTTGTCACCCAGCTCGCCCACCCAGCGCACAGTTGCTGAGTGCTGACCACGACTGAGAATCAGGACTAAGAACCGGGCAAGAGTCACTGTGCTAAAGCGTTAGCTCAGCTGCACACCAAGAAGTCACACTTGTCACGGATGAAAGCTTCAAGCTAGCTGGCTTCTTTAAGGGAATTTTTAGGGTTCTGAAAGGACAGTGACTCAAACAGTTCTTCTGAGTAATTACATAAATGCAGGCAACAGCAAGCATAGTCTGAGAAGAGTGCAGTTCTGCTCAGGAATTCCGATTCCAATAATTAGTATATCATCACTTATTACAAAGAATGCTCCTGTGTCATCTACTTTTAACAATGAAAATCTCAGAATGATGTCAGTCGTAGAAAGGAGATTCCCATGGTGTTTTTTTCCAACGCACCGAGAGCTCCTTTATTACTCACATACACAAAGCAACACTTGGAAACGATTATAGCGATGGCAGGAAACGCAAAAAAGGACAGAATCCAATATTCTTAGGAAGACCTAGTCACTCCTCCCATGACTCAGGAGGAAAAGGTAATCACACTGTAAAATTTGATACAGAAACATTCACTGTAAATACCCACCTTGACTGATGTTTCGGGAAGATAATGAGGGTTTCTCAGCTTTGTGGTGATATAGAAGCGGAAGTCGGGCGCATACTCGATGATGGTGTCCCCAAGCCGGATGCACAGACTCCCGCCCTGCTTGAAGGTCTGTTTCAGGAGAAGCGGCTCCAGGATAGGATCCAGTTCTTCTCCAACATTCTCTAGCAGCACTGGAGTAAGATCAGGAAGCATCAAGTGTTTGCTATAAACACTGGCTACAAATGTTGGCTACTGGCTATAAACATTCACTTCCCTGAGTTTTTCTCGACCTTCTAGGCTGCCTGCGTTGCTGAGTATCTACCAAAGTCTTTTTGTCTTCTAAGTACAGGGCATGATGCCACCAACATATTGCATTCTTAGGTGGTGGGGAATCTGGTCTCCTTGCCTGTCTCCACAACAGTCAATCAGGCCACCAGCCCTGCTGTATAGACCTGAACTAGCCCGAGATGCATCACGGATCCAAGGAGAAAGGCAGTGCAGACAATCGCTGCCGCAGCAGGGAGAAAGTACTTCCAGGGATGGCTGTTTACACCACTGCCTTGTCCTTAACTATAAAATGAGCCCACGCTTATGGAAAAACATCGAGAAAACACAGGCGAGGATAAAGAAGAAATAGGTAAACTGTCTACTAAGATTTTCCTACTCTTTCTCTCTTTCAGTATTTTCCTTAATTGACTCATACCACTTATAGTTTGGTAGAAAATGACACAAAACCGTAAGGGCGTGGTCATTGCTTACTGGATAAATTATCTTCTCTCGTAAGCTTTTCTTCATCTTTCACACACACAGCTGAGACACACCAAATTTTGCACTCTATTTTGCTTGACATGATAGCACAAATTTTTAGCCACTATTAAAAACTAGTAAACATATTCATCTTCTCTCACTTTTTACTATTATTAGGCATTCAGAATTTTCTTACTTTATGTACTAACTATGTAACACTTCCCATTGTGGACATTTTCTTCTGATGTATTCTAGGTAGAATCCCGGGACAAGAGGCGAGAAGCATGTTAACACTCCTGACATATCTGCCAGGAAAGGCCTTGCATTATAGTGTCGGGATGCTACGGAGCTAACCTTGGGCTGGAGCACTTTCTAGGGGTGCTGTCTGGTGGGAAGAGGCTGATCAGGCCCTGAGATGAGGGGCAGTGATCTTGGCTGTAGAAGAGGCCCACAGACGTGTTCTGCCCTTGCCAAGGTTACTCTTGGGTCAAGAGTTCCTAAAATTGTGCTCTCAGCAGTTTCTGCAGGGCTGGTGTGTTGGCCCAAGGAGGCATGCCTGAGGATTTTTAAAACCGATTTCTCATTTTCTGCCTGCATAAAAAGATTATTTTTCATAGTGAAATAATATTGAGTGCATTATAATGTATTAAATATGCTAATCTTCTATTGTTTAGGTTGCTTCATTTTCCACTATTATTGATGAGGCTACAGTGAACACTGAATAAATTTTTGTGTTCATTTCTGATTGCTCATCAGGATAAAGAGCTAGAAGAAGAGTTAATACTCAAATGTTAGGAGCATTTAAAAATCTATTCATACTGCTGAGCTGTTTTCCCCAAAAGCTGTTTCATCTCAGAGTTGCAGCGGGCATTCACTCTGTTGTAGGTTTTCAGCCTATCCCTGTGCCTACAGATGCTGACTGTCACGCTGACCTGGATTTTCCCACCAGACTCACAACTTTAAAAGCCAGTGGCTATTATTTCCCTTGTTCTACAGATGAACCTACCACAAGAAGCTGAGATGAGATTGGCTAAGCCAGCCAGTAAACACCCAAGTGCCTAGCTCGCCCTCTGAGCACCCACGTGACGCTATCGGCATCCAGTATATATTTGTAACTTTTAATATATTGGTAAAGTTTGTTGTTTCAGCAACATGTTCTGATCTGCTTTTTGGCTAAGTATATTTTATTTCCTGGAAGTTGTGCTAATACACTTGCTGATTTTTCCACTCCTGGGCTTGTTATTTACAGTCAGGCTCAGTTGTGTCAGAAATCCCAAAATCGTGGCCACGTCAACAAAAAGGAATTTATATCTCCTGTGACGAGGATGCCTACCCTGGTGAGTGGTACCTGCTAGTCACAAAATAAATGTTTGTGGTTGAATGAATAAACAAGCATGCAAATGAAAGAAACATTAAGCAGAGGTAGTTTTGCATCCTTTTTTCAGTAATGGGACTCAAACTCATGACCTCATGCTTGACAGGCAGGGCTGTGCCACGGAGCCAAGCCCCTGGCCCCACGTTTGTATTCTTCGTTATATACAAAGGAGGTGAGTAGACTGCTGTGAGGTAAGCAGCACAGGCAGGCTGGCTGCCACCAAGCCCTCATTCCGCGGAAAGTCACTGAAAAGAGCTCCTATGAAAGTGACTGCTTTCCTCATCACTAACGCTGTGACGCACAGCCAATGCAGACTCCCCCACCGGCACAGCTGATACTAATGACAGTCCCTGGAATACTAGCTTCTGAGCCTTTGTAAAAAGCAGCAGAATATTTTTATTTCCGAAGAGCATCTTACCTTAAAATTTACAAAAGGAAAGAGACACGTGGTTTTCATCAAAGTCCAGGCAGGCAGGCAAAGTCAGCAGAAATCTCTGCCTTCTCAACCCAGGCCAGCTGGGAGGAACAACAAATCAAAAGCCACCGGTCCCCAAATAGCCCTATCTAAAGATAACTTCTGAAAGGTAGGAGTCTTTAGCGCTTATATTTTGGAACTGCACCGGTAACTGATTCCTTTCCTTGGTGGTGAAATGTAAAGGTAACCGTAACGCCCGCCCCAGTTTCTTTTTCTGTAAGAGATGACCGCTTCTCACTCTTCTCTAATGATTAACTTTGAGAGGCAAGGCAAAAAAAGCACCCTAGTTTGAAAGGAGTTCTTCCCAAAATATATGTTAACTTAAAGAAATACATTTTATTTTATTTTTTTTTAATTGTACTTTAGTACAGGGTCTATGCGGTCTCACTACACAGATCGGACTCATAGTGATCCTCCTGTTTTCAGCCTCCCAAGCGCTGGGATTACAGGAGCGTGCCACCACACCCAGTTTCAGCTGTGGCTCAGTGTGCCCTGGGGTGGGGCTGGCATGGCATGCTGGGGATTGAACCCTGACCGCTGCGCTCTGCCTAAGCAAGCGCTTTAGTCTGCTGAGCTATCTGGCCGGCCCTTAGTAATACATTTTAAATCTTGACCTAATAAACAACACACATATAAAATTTTACAATTTGCATGCAATGAGGCTCAGCCTTACTCAGTACTACATGTGGCCTGATATTCTCTATTCTTTCATATTGCACTTTAGTGGTAAATGAAATCAGCTTCCTTTCCCACAGCCATGGCCCGTAGTTTGAGAGATGTAAGACAGATGGCCTTTATGGCTCTTTTCTGTTATTATTACACAATCTTGCCATCAAGAAATGTGCCCGAGACTGGAGAAATCTCCAGAATGCCAGCAGATGGTGGACAGTCAATTACTGTCTCTCTGTCTTACTGTATCATGGAAGTCATTTTAATATTGATGTAGAATGAGGGAATTTAACTGATGAAAGTCTGGAAGATGTCAATTCCTTCAGGAAGTCTCCTCTGTTCTGTACTCGCAGTGCATCGCCTGTGCCTTTCTTGTATTGTAAGAAGCCAGGGATCAGCCGCTGGCTCGAGTGGGGAAGCCCGGGGCAGGGACTCAGCCGGGGGTGGTGTGCACCTGGCCCGCAGAGCCCTGCCTTCCCGCCCAGCACCCTGAGGAACCTGTGAAGGCAGCACCCGTCAGCCACTGCTCCAGGCGTCTAGCACACGGCAACTGATGTCACCACCACACGCGTGGGCAGAGCACAGATGAGGAAAGCAAGGAACCGAGCCACACTCCGAAGGGCAGACGGTCTGCATCCAGACCAAGAGCGGCAGGGCGGGAGGGGCAGTGAGAGGCTGAACCAGGACTGAACTCAGGCCCTTGTGCTTGCCAGGAAGGCGCTTATCCTACTGAGCCATCTCCCCGGCCCCAGGAGGCGCCTCCTTTCTCTTGCTATCACACTGAGATGTACGAGGTCCTGATGGTAAGCGAGCACTATGCAAAATACTGCTAGAAGTCATGGTTCCGTGAGTACAAGTCCTGTGCTCTTCGGGTACTCTGGGAACACAGTGGGATGACTGGAGATGACAACGCTGCACTGTACACTTTTTATTTTTGTTTATTTATTTATTTTATTTTATTTTTTTGCAGGACCGGGGATTGAACTCAGGCCCTTGCCCTTGCCAGGGAAGTGCCTATTCTACTGAGCTATCTCCCTGGCCCCACTGTACACTTTTTAAAAAGCTAAAAAAATAAAAAATAAAAATTTAAATCTTTCACCATAACATGATAAGTCCCCAAAAATGTGGACACATTTACCCTGCTTTGAGCATTAGTCAACATATATGCTCATCACAACACCATGTGGCACTCCAAACTATGTATATAAATTTATGTCAATTTCAAAGTTATCCATCTCAGGATAGCAGTGGGATAAACAGACCCTTGTGTCTGTGTGTGTCCATTATATAAACACAAAATTTTATAGGTATTTTTCACTTCCTGTTTGTCTTAACAGAATTTAAAATCATAACTGATATTTGAGAGCTAACTCATTATTAATACGCAAACAGAACTTCTGTAGAACTACCAGCATGCTTTTGTGATTCTTCCCACTGTACTAGCAGTAAGTGAGACCTGCTGGATCTTTCCTTGGCTAATTATTTTGACTTTTCATCATATTTACATTTATTTGGTCAAAATTTGGTGATGACATGATTTTTTTCCCATTGTATTTTTTTTTTAATGTATTTTGTCCAGGGGCTCCAGGGGCTCACTACACAGATTGGACTTGTAGTGATCCTCCTGTTTTCAGCCTCCCAGGCGCTGGGGTTACAAGTACATGCCACCCCACCCAGTCTGGAGACAGGAACTTTAAATGATGATTAATAACACCAATTTGCTCAAATCATAAGCATCCTGGCTTTTGTTTGGACAGTGTGACATCTTCCTAAGACTGGATTCAAAATCCTTGATTTCCTACTCTGTGGCTGGTGGCTGCAGGCAGGCACGTCAACTCTGCTCTCTGTCCTGCCTCTGCCTGGGGAAAGTCAAGAGAGAAAGAAACAGGAAGCTGGACTGGTGCATTGCCAGCGGCCCCTCTCACCTCAGCAGTGGACGCGGAATGGGAGTCCAGCGGCGGCAAGGAGTGCCCAGAAATTAAATCAGTTAAAATTGGAAGAAGCATCACAGGTGCCCAATGGCAAAGGACAGCGTCTCTTCTGTGAGCTTTACAACTGCTAGCATTCCCATCTGACTATTCATGAATAATTAGAGACTAGCGACAAGCCAGGGCAAGCCAACGACAGTCCCGACCTGTGCCCAGCGAGCCCCGGGGCTCCTGCACCTACCGGGAGTGCCAAACTGGATGCAGTTTTCCAGAGTCCTCACGTAGTCGGGGTCGCTTAGCTTAATGAGCTGCAGGCTGTTGGCTTTCTCCATGTTCTTCACCCACTTGTTGGCCTGACCTTGAGGGTCGATCATCAGGGGCCACCTCCTCGCGTTCCTGCACGGGAGGGTAAAGACGACCTCGGTCAGCGCAGGCCAGGCCACCGCTGCTGCTATGCTCTTCAGCCACTCAAACGCCGCTTTCTTAGAGTTTACTGCTCACCACAACTTTCCACTTCATGACTTACTACAAGAAACTGTGTTCTTGAAGCAGACGCATCGAGACCTTGTGGATGCTGGGACAACACAAAACCACCTTGCCAGGAGGAGCTCTCGTGTCCTGCTCTGGCTTTGGAAAACTACTCTCTGCCAAAGTTAAATTATGAGACATTTGCTGCTGTTATGAGTTACATCTCAGTGACAGTCATCAGGGTGTCTGGGCTGGAAATCAGCAGCTCTAGTTCTCTGCCAGCCCCCGCCATGACGACCAGCATGGCTTCCGTTCCTTGGCCTCTGCCTGCTGCGCTTGGTGCTACAGGAAGAGAAGGGATCTCTCTCTCTCTCTCTCTCTCTCTCTCTCTCTCTCTCTCTCTCTCTCTCTTTCTCTCTCTCTAAATATAGTGATCTAGCAAAAAAAGGAAAGGCACAATTTCAAATCCCCTGAACTTCTCACAGACAGAAACAGAGCCTCTGCATCTATTCTCCTACACGTGACTCTAATTTGTTCTCGGTTACAGCGGAGTGTTGCTCCGCTGCGTATGAGCCCCACGCTTGCTTCTCTCTACCCATTCATCTGTCAGTGGACACACAAGGCACTTCTGAGATTAAGCTGCTACACACTGTGCCACTGCGAACACGGGCTTCCATGAAGTTAAACATCACGTGGTTTCTCTTATACAAGAAACCTAAAGTATAAATAAATTAAAGAGCAGAATGAAAGGCACTAGCAGACAAGGAGGCTGATCTTTCATAAGTGGGAAGTCACCAAGTGATGGAGGGGGACACACCCTGTCTGTGAGCCAATCCCATGAACTGTGCGATTGTTATGTCTGAAAACATTGACTCATAAAAATTAAAAAAACCAAACAACTCTCTGAAGGTCAGAGTTTTGTACCTTGCTGCTTTCTAGCCCCTCTCAGCCTCTACTGGTGATAAAAACAGCAGCTCCCCAGGGTTTGGGGTCACAGGAGAGTGAGCCAGGGTCTGTCCTCGCCCCTGGAGTTGCGGCCATAGCTCATCCCTTGTGGGACCTTTCATCAATCTGAAGATTCCATGCTGGCCCCTTCTCTTTGAGGATTGAGTCAACACAGCCAGAATCCTGGCCAAGGTTGTGAACATACAGACATAGATTTTAAAAGTCAGCAGAGAAAATTCACTCAAAACATTAAAAGAAAAAGGGCTGGCAAGATAGCTCAGTGACCTAAGCACCTGCTCAGGCAGGTGCAGGGGCTGGGTGTCAATCCCCAGCACCGCAGGCCCTGCAGGCCGCCCCCAGGAGTGCTGAGCCAGCGACCAAGACCAGGCGTGGTGGCGCAAGCCTACAATCCCAGCACCGGGGAGGCTGACACAAGAGGAACAGCAGGAGTCCAAGCTGTGTAGTGAGACCCTGAACCAAATACATTAAAAAAATTAAAAATAGAAAACCGTTAAGATGAGACAATAAGTATTATGGGGGAGGCAGGAAGAGAGAAGGATGTAGGACTGGAACAGGGTGACATTTTCAGTTCTCTCTTGCTATGATCTGAATTTAGAATCTCACTGGGTAGTTTGTCTCCCAAAATGAAAGCAGTAGTAGTTTTAACACCTAAGTTACGTCCTTAGATACTAGAGAAGACAGCGCCGTCTTCCCTGTCCACACCATGTACCTCATCAGGGCAGCCACCCCACGATCACTGGACCGCCCCCAGCAAGCCTACACAGCAGACACGCTTTCCCAGCTCTGAGTCGAGACCCAGACCAAGGGGTCCACAGGGCTGGCTGCGTGACTCGCAGAAGGCCGGCTGCTCCGTGTCCCTGTCGGCCTTTCATCTCTGCCGGGGACGTGGTGTCTCACACAGGGACTGAGCCCCATCGCAGCAGGGCTCTGCCCTCAGGACCTCACCCAGCTTTGAGACCCTCCTGAAGACAGTCCCCTGGGGGGTGTGGCTTCCGGGTACAAGTCCAAGTGGAGATGGAACGCAATTCTGTCCATAACATCAGGGGAAAGAAGACCAAAATGGTAGTGCAATGTCGCCTATGCAATATGAGGAAAAGAACTGAGAAAATACGGCAATGTGAAAGATAATTAGGAATAAAAGGTGTGAATGTGTAAGGATTTTCCTGTCATATTTTTGAAGTACTTTTAGACTTGGAGAATTGTGAGTGCTAAACCATGTCCACTTTCCCAGAGAAATCCGGGACTTGCTCTCCTCCTGTGCCGCCCTCACTTTTTAAGTCATGAGACCAGAGTGAGCTATTTCTTTGTCTCAACGCCAGCTCTTCCTGCCTTTTCACGTGCGGATCCCACCCACGATTCAAAGTCTGCTCACAAGCCACAAAGCCTTTCTTGGCCTTTTTTCCTCTCAATCTCTAGTAATTCATTCAGATTACATTTGTGGTACTTTCATAGAATACTATTTTATTATGGTAATTTTATGTATTTTTTAACTAGATCACCCAACTAAATTGTAGGGTAGGGACCATAGTCATTTTCCCTTGTTCTCTTTTCCTACATCAAATACAACTTGTATTCAACAATATGATTTTGGATTGGGTTTTTGTTTTTTGTTTTGTTTCATTTTTCTTAAGACTGGGTCTCACTTTGTAGTTCAGATTGGCCCTGAACTCACTATGTAGGTCAGGTTTGCCTTGAATTCATGGTGATCCTCCTGCCTCAGCTTCCTGAGTGCTAGGTTTACAGGTGTGTGCCACCACACTTGGCAATCTACTGATTTTGAAAATAAAACATCTCACAAGTGCCATACAAATTAAATAATGAAAGATTTAAATCCTGTAAGAGATGACCCCATGCATAGATAATAGTGGTCCAATGAAAGGCACTTCAAAATCAGAGGAAGGAACTTCAGTTGGCGACCATGTTAAGCTAAGCCCATGGTAGCCTACTCCACGAGTACCTAAGCTGCGGAAAACAAAACAAAACAACTACAGGAAGCAACCACTTGCAGGGCCTAGGAACAGCAGGTGAACTGAGGACATCAAGGTTGAGGAATGACTAATAAGGAAGGGTGCGTGCCCTGTCATCTTCTGCCTCCTTCTTACCTTTTGGCCCAGGGGCAAATGCAAACATGGCCATCAGGAGCCCCACAGCACAGGCGGAATGTGAGTGCTTCTGCGTTTGCTTGTTCTCGTCCCCATCTGCTCCAGGTTACCTCGGCCACAGGCTGAGCACAAGCGAATCTCACCGCACAGAGGAAGCCAGCACACACGGAACGTGAGGCGACGCCAGGTAGCTCTTCCCTGTGCATAGGCCACCTTGGCCCACACGTTGGCAGGGAACTGTGCAACTATATGGCAAGGTAGGATTCTGAGAGAGCGCAGTCTTTCTGGCCAGGACAAGGGGCTTTGGGGACACGAAAAGTGCAGGGAAATCCTTGAGAAGGAGGATGTGCAACCTCCTCGGACTGCCTCACTCTGGGAATGCAGAGCTGGGCCCACTCACCACCCACACTGGACAGGCACCACCATCTCGAGACACGCAGAGGCTCAGAACTGCGCCACGAAGCAAGTCTCAGTTGGGACTCTGAGCACCGCATACCGAGGAGCGCGTCCAAAAGCTTATCAAGGGCTTTCAAATCCGAGCTAACCCTGGAAAGCCTCACCCACTGGAAGAAAGACAGATGCCAAGGGCTAAATTTAACCAAGTTCTTTGACTGAAAAAACAAAAGTAATCTGACCCAGAGGATTTTAACAGGATCTGAGTGTCATACTCAGATTTCCCACCGACATTATGGGACACACCAAGAACAAAGATTCTACATACAGAATAGAAAAATATCTTTCAAGAATAAAGAAAAAAATACTCATATTCAGAAAAGCAAGAAAGCTTTTGCCAGTAGACCTGCCCTAAACAAATACTAAAGTCTCTTAGTCTGATGCAAAGCGACACAACAAGGAAACTTGCAAACTTAGAAGTAAAAGAATAGCAATAAAATGGTAAGCATTGTGGTAAATATTATACTGTCCCTTCCACCTAAATTATGCAAAAGTGTGAAGATAAAAATAATATTGCTGGGGCGCAGGTGTGGTGGTGCCCATGCCTGTAATGCCAGCACTCTGGAGGCTGAGACAGGAGGGTCATCGTAAGTTTGAGGCCACCCTGCGCTACAAACTGGGCCCAAGGCCAGCCCAAAATGCATATGGAGGAGACCGTGTCTCAAAAAGACAAAATAATAATAATAATAATAATAATAATAATAATACTGTTGGGAGGGAGCTCAATGTAAGATGTATTAGCCAGACCATCAGAACTAGCAGGAGTTTTTGATTTGTACATTCATCATGAAGAATTGATCCACACACATCGTAAGGCTGAGAGATCTCAATCTCCAGCCACAGAGGCTGGCAATCAGAGCGAGCCATCTAGGAGGCTAGAGGCCCGTGAGGCTGGCAGGCTGCTCTACTGTAATGGAAACAGTGACTTTAAGTGCTTCATGATATTCTTTACTAAAACTTCAAAGTGTTACAGAAACCCCAGTATGTAAACAAGAAGGAAATATTAAAAACCACAATTACTTAATAATCAGAAAAGAGAAATGAGGAAGAAAGTAATAAAAATCAGATGTGAAAACAAAAATAAAACAATGAAAAGGTGCATTTAAATTCAATGGCATCACTCAATTCCTCAACAGCAAATGGTCTAATTGCACGGGAAGAGAGAGGTTCCCAGATTCCATAAAGATACAGGGTCTAACTGTACTCTGTCCATAAGACTCCACTTCCAACATAATAGGATAGCTATGTTAAAAGCTATGTAACAATCTAAAAATACTATGCAGCAGAGAGAAATTGTAAGTTAAAACAATAATCGAAAGATAACTTAAAAATCTGTAAATATTTGGAAATTAAACAATACATTTTCATGTAAGTTTTTTTGATACAGGGTCTTGCTACTCCTGCCTCAGTCTCCCAGCACTGGGGTTACAGGTATGCGCCATCACACCCGGTTCTGGGCTGGCATGGCACGTCCAGGGTTCTGGGGCCAGCGTGGCATGCGGTATCGGGGATCAAACTCAGGACCTCGTGCTTGCCAGGCAGGCACTTATGCTGCCGAGCCGTCTCCCCAACCCTACACAATACATTTTAAATGACCTATGAATCAAAGAGGGGGAAGTCTCCAGGAAAATTAGGGAATATTTAAGAAGCAACGAAGAATAAATAAAAACATAGCAGGGCTGGGGTGTATCTCAGTGGCAGAGCACTCGCCTACCATGCACGGCCCACTGGGTGCCATCCCAGCACTACAGACAAAAAAGATCAGCATGTGTGCCGTGTGGCTAAGGTGAGGGCTAGTGAAAACTGATAACCTCATCTCCACAGATGAGGAAAGAAAAATATAAAATAAATAGCCTAATCCCTCTCTTAGGAGACCAGAAAAAAAGAGAAGCAGTTTATACTCACAGAAAGGAGAATAAAAGAAATTAGAAGAGATATGCAGTGGTCAAATCCTCCCAAGTCAATCTATAGACTATTAATACAGTCCCAGGCAAAATTCCAGGAGGATCTTTTGTACTATTGAAAAACTGATTCCGAAATTTTTGTTAGGTGGTAACAGCTATGCAAAATAATTTTGGAAAACAATAAAACTACCTGACTTCAAGACTGCATTAGAAAGCATCAACAGTCCAGGAAATACAGTCTAGTACTTGCATCAAAAGAGACACAAAGAACGAAACCACCAGCTACAGACCCACATGGACTTATAGGCGATTTTTCAGAAAGCGGCAAAGGCAAAGTTCACAGGAAAAGGACAACATGCGCAACACACTGTGATAGCAAAACTGGAACACCCACTCCGGCCTCCCCACTGCGTGCGTGCGTGCATGCGTGTGTGTGTGTGTGTGTGTGTGTGGTTGAGAGAGAGAGAGAGAGAGAGAGAGAGAGAGAGAGAGAGAGAGAACAAGCAGATGTTGCTCTATACCCAGTTAGCATTCCCAGCCCTTTTAGTTTTTATTCTAAGTTTTGAGGCAGCCTCTGCAACAGCTTCCCAGGCTATGCCTCAACTTCTAATCCTTACCTCAGCCTTCTCAGGGCGTGTGTCTGTTACCACATCCAGCTATTGAGAGTATTTTCACCAAACAACACCCTCAATGTAACACTTTTTTTAATGCACAGGCAGGATAATGTTTGACTTCAGATTATAGCATTTGTTTTTCAAAATTGTGTTTTCATAAATTAATAGATTAAAAAGATTCCAAAAGAGATATTCAAAAGGCAATACCTATGTTTTAGAATTAGCATACACCAGCAATCATTGTAGAATTTTTTGCTTACTACTTCTCCATTATTATTCTGCATTTTTTGACAAGAAAAACGTTTTTGTCCATACAGTCTTTTATGTCAAACACAAATCCACAACAGCTTTAAAATCGGTGGTTCCCAAATGGAGCCAAACTTCACAGCACACGGTGCATCCGGCTCTGACAGGCTCTGGTCCTTCCTATTGTCTAGAGAAGACCGCTATCTGGTGCTTGCTGGGTTCTGAAAAGCGAAGACCTCGACCGTGACAATACCTGCGCACTGCAGCCCACATGGACAGGCACAGGATTTGAATTCACAGCAGTAGCACGTTTCAGAGGATTTTGCTACTTTCCCTTTCACACACAAAAAGCAGGGGAGAGAAGGTGGGTGCTGCCCTTCACTATTACAGCTCCTGACATAAACCCGATCTTCTCTGTCCTGTGAAATGAAAACTTGCTTTGGTTTTTCTTTTTAAAGCAGGGTTCCATCAGGCACAGGTCTGATCTGCTCACCAAGCAAACAATCCTAATTCTCTACTGGAAAAACATTCAGCTACAGCCCAGTTATATTTGATGTTATCATGAACATTTTTAATTCTAACTAACCAATGACTTTTAGGCATCAGTAGTCCCAAAAGTTAATTATGTTTGAACTTGCCGAGTTTATAGATTGGTCCAGCTTAGGTAATCTGCAAAAAGCACTGAACCCAGGCTCTGATCCTCAGTCTTGGGTCCTATCACTGGCAGGCAAGCACCTCTGAGGGCTGCAGAACCAGAAGAGACTTACCAGCTACTTCTACCTGATCCCTTTCAGCCTACTCCCTCCAACCTTTCAGGGCAAGATTACCAAATCACACTGACCAAGGCACCTGCCACAGTCTATTTCTAGAGGCTCCCCCAAAACTTCATGCACTCGGAGGTGAGGCTTTGGAAAGGGGAGTGGATCATGGGGTGTGACAGTGGATCGGGCTGCTGATGGATTCATAGCTGGGTGTGAGTGGGGAGGTGGAGCCTGCTGGGAGGAGGAGGCGCACCAGGGCGTGGTCTGGCACTGTATGTACAGATAGCCCTGCTGCTCCCTTGATCACACTGCCGTCGTTGCTGCCTGCCATGCCGTGAGCCGCTTCTGTCCCACCAGGCCCCTCTCTATCGCCAACCTGCCCTGGACCCTGGCAGACTATTGACTGAAACCTCTTCAAATGTGAGCTGAAGTAAACTGTTCCTCCTCTGACTTGTGTGTGTTGGGATTTTTCATTCCAGGAATGAGAAAAGTAACTAAGACAGAAGCCCAAAACGAATCATGTTAATAGGGAAGGAACTCAACAGCTTTATAAACAAATAGCAAAGATGGAGGGGCTATGACGCAGCAGCAGTTTGCTTCCTCCCTCCCTCCCAAGATACGTGTGTGTTGCCTTGAATAACGGCCATGAAATGATGTGAATTTTGGAATTTAAAAAATTACAGTGAGATTCATCAACAACTTTATCATTATTAAAATATGATTAGGCCCCCATGACAGGATACATTTATTTGCTAGCAAATAAGACGCCATCTGTCCTCTGATGGAAATAATGGCCAGAGACACCTGCGTGGGGCAAGGAAGGTGGAGAAACTGCAAGTCCCCGCTGTGCAGAGGCGACACTGCTCTGTAGCACGTGACCAGCTGGACTCCCACATGCGTGGGAAGGGCGCTGTTGCTGAGAGGAAAACAACAGCAGCAACAGAACAACAAATTGCTACTTGTCACGCTCAAGTCGGCTGGCTCAGCTGGACAAAAGTGGAAGAAAAGTTGGCCTTCTAAAATTTCAGGAATTTCCCCATATCAGTGCCTGAGGTATGTTCTAACCTTAAAGAACAAAGCAGATTCCAGTTGCCAGAAAACATGGCCTACTAATTCAATAATGAACTAGCTGCCATGACAGAAGAAAGGTTTTGCTAACCTACCTACTTAACATTTATGTATAATCTCCTCTTTCTCTAGATTAATTTGTATCAACGTATCAGAGAACTTAAAGTTAGTCTCCCAAAGAAAAGCTTTGTAGTGCTTTGCCTAAAAATAATTCAAGATTAGATCCTGAAAAACTTATCTAAGTAAAATATTTACTTGATCAAGTAGAACTAAGTGTCATAGTCACTCTTTTCTGTCTTAGTTACAAGAAAATTTTGAAAATACTTGCAGGCCAAATTACGGAGATCTACTAGAAAACGATTCCTTTAACTTTCCTCTAAATGGTCTCATCAAATTTTATCCTGTTTCACATTATAATCAATTCACACATACCTCAAGTGCAGTAAATAAGTGCTAAAGAAAACCACATGTCAGGATGATTCATTGAGCCGTAATAAAAGGAGAAATGTATTCAGAGTTTTAATTTATGGCATGCTTTTCATAAATACTAAACACAAAAATTGGAGAGTAACTAGCCATCATATTCAGTGGTTGTTTCTATTTTAAGAATTTATATCTGTACTGCAGTAGTAACTGTCATCCCCTCAGCCAGCGTACTGCAGTTTCTTAGTTGCCCACTTAACAGTGTCTGTTAGTTCTATTTCTGCTGGTCACTATGATGCCCACTGTAAGGACCAATCAAAGGCCACCAAATACTCTGCTTCTGTACCTCCTGCTTGCTTAGCCCATAAAGCCCCAACTACCAAGGATCAGGGCCTGACATTTTCTTTTTGAGGTCCATGCCCATCGATGTTAAGTGAGTCTGCCTCCAAGGGCCAGCAGCTTACGTACCTGCCTGGAAAGCATAAAATTTGATCTCCGGTACCAATAGGAAAAAGAAAAAAACCAACTGCCTCCCAATCTTGGTGCCATTTCAGCGCTTCTCCTTGCTGTAGAGATGCCTTCGCCAGTTTTGCTTTAAACTGAGCACCATCACATCAGTTACTTTTTCAGTAACATCTCACATTCTGTAACACAGAGCCGAGTGTGTGCTAGAGACAGCAGAAATACCTGTGCTACTCCCACGGTGGTAAGCCCTGGGCATTCCTCTTCTTACGGGAGGGTCCGGGAAGGTGGGGGCCGCTGTCTCACAGCCCAGAAAGTCCAGAAAAATACCTGCAGAATGGATAACCGGTCCCACACCCAGGACTCGGGCAGAGTTCAGAACAATGTGATCACTCTCACTGACACTCTGCTGCACGTTCCATGAGTCAGTAACAACCAAACTCCACATTTTCAGAGTGAAAACTTAGAATTCATTTATTTATGGTAACGTTTTCCTCTGTTTTCTAAAAAGTGGTTAAAAATTAAGCAAAAGCCATTTCATCTTGCCTGTGTACCACGCTCTGCACTATTCCACTTTTAAATATGAATAGAAGGATGAAGATACTCATATTCAATTTACTAGCTAAATTTTTTCAATACTATAAAATTTACTACTTACATTTATCAAAAGGTTTGTAGCTAAATAAACTACTGCTCATTTGATAGAGACCCCGTGTGAGAACAGTGTCCGCCTTACACTATGATGATCCCGTTGTCGATGGAGAAGGAGTCAGAAGGTAGCCCGGCAATGTTCCAGGTCCGAATGGTCACCGCCTCTCCCAGGGTGCTCATCAGCGAGTACTCCTCAGAGCAGGGTATGTCTCTTGCTTTGCACAAATTTGTCCACTCCTTGGTTTGGTTCTTTAAAACATTCAAAGAAACGCACAAGAGATAAGGCTGGACGTCCCCAACAGAACACTTCGTAAACTCCTCAGTAGCACTATGTTCACTGAGAAAGCCAACCTTCTTCCGGCTACCAAGCTCATAATGGATAGAATAACTGAAATACACCACCAGAAGCCCCTCAGATATATTCTGCAGTTCCTTGTATCTACCAGAAAACCCTAAACAAAACAAACCAACCCAGAAGGCCCAAGGCTTGGGGGGGCCGGCCGGGCCAGCGCACCGCTCACCTGTCTGTAGTTGGATGTGAAGGCACCCAGGTAGGCCACCACCCCTGAGGAGATGAGGATGTCGCCGGTCAGGTTGATGTACAGCTGCCCCAGCTCCAGGGCCGAGTGGCTCCAGCGGGTCTTCTCTCCGCCCAGGCCTCCAATCAGCTGCTCCGCCCGTTCTAGCTTCTTGCTGCACAAGTCAACCTCAAAAACAAGCATCAGCCTTTATCAACCTCCGTGGGCAGCACAAGCACCAAATTCCACACACCTCCCTTTCAGAGACACTTACGGAGTTCCACCTGGAGTTCTTTGTTTTAAAATTTTTGTGAAGTCCAATTTCAACACTAAATTATTTCAAGATGCCTTACCCACTTAAGATACCATTACACATTATTATACACTGCTTCCTTTATATTATTATGCCAAATAATCTCACATCATTAGGTATTCTAGATTACAAATCACCTAATCTGTTTTTACATTCAAAAGTAGGGCATCAAGAAAAAGATAGAAGTCTGTACTTCAATATTTTAAAATATCTTCTGTATAATTTCCTTGAACATGTGTGAGAATTCTAATTGTGACCAGCACTGTAACTTTGTTTTTAGTAATGTGTGGACAACTAGTTATGCACTAATAATAGGATACATCATACTGTAGCCTTACACATGAACCCTACAGTTGGAATTAAGTAGCAAAAGAAAATAACAGTAACAAGCAGTCAGTATATGTGCTCCTATAGTGAGCACGAATCAAGCAGTTTAGATTTATTTATTTAATAAAATAGTGTAAAAAAAAACAAAGTTTAAGTGTCCTTTAGGGATTAAACTTGCGCTCAAGCAATGTATTTATATCCTCTGTTAACTGCCTGCATTTTTCAGAGGGGTGAACATTATTTTGAAGTTGTATATATTTGCATTTGCAATCATTCAGTGTAGGTTCTGACACTTGTTCACTCTGTGTGTTTTATGACTGTGCTAAGCTGATTTTATTGAAGTTTCCATATAGAAATAACTGAAGTGGACTGGAATATAGTATAACTGTTACTCTGAGAACACATTTCTGTAATTAGAACTATTAAAATCTTTTTGAATGGGAAAAAAAATCCTTCAATTTGAAAGAATAAATTTCCCATATGCCCTTTAGGAAAATATTTACTGCAACTTTGTGTAGAGTAAGAGAAATGGGTGTCATGCATATTTATATGTACAAGTGAAAGCTGTTACAGTTAAAGGAACATTTTAGAAAGAAGGGGAACGTGTTTCAGTTCTTTGTTTATGATTTCAGTTTCCTGCATCTAGTGTTAATTTGGAAGGAAAAGCTGAACACGCAGCTTAAAGGTCAGCTTGGTAAATACCGCTTGTGTGGTGCGAGGGGGTACAGAGCTTCTGAGAGGTTTCATGCTCATTTGTTTCTGTTCTTTTTTGTTTGTTTGCTTTTTGTTTTGAGACACAGTTTTATGATGCAGTTGCTTGTTGTGAACTCAAGCTGGGCTCACTTTATAGCCCAAGATGGCTTAGAACATGCAGCAATCTTCCTGTCTCAGCCTCCCAAGTACTGGGATTACCGTGCACCATCACGCCTGGCCTGTTTCTTTTTGACCTATATTAGACCCTTAGCTGGAATTTTCTTTTTTGGCAGAACCGGGGATTGAACTCAGGCCCTTCCGCTTGCCAGAGAAGAAGCGCTTATTCCACTGAGCCATCTCCCTGGCCCCTTGGAATTTTTTTAAAAATTAAAAGAAAAATGGAACATATCTCACTATGATACAGGAAAGCCCATGGCTATTTTATAATTTTTCAAGGTCAGGTTATCCATTTTTATTACAATTCACAAAATCCATCACATATACTTATCACAGAATACAGAGAATAACTAAGCAAATGCTCTACTGGATAAAACACTGAAGGTTAAGTAATTAAGGTAGATTGCCGTCCTGCAAATGGAGACCTTTCCCTTCCACTTCAGCCCGTCCGAGCTGGGTGTGCAGCTCAGTGGCACAGATCCTGCCTTATTTGAGGCCCTGGCTTAATGTGCAGTGGTTCTAACCAAAATCTAGGTGCAGGGCCAGGATGCAGTTCAGTGGCATGAGTGCCTGTCTGGCAAGCACATGATCCTGAGTTCAATTCCCACTACAAAAAATAAACACAAACAAACAAACAAAAACTGGGTGAACTGTATTCCACATATTTCATCTTTAACGTCTTGCACGCCATCGCGATTCCATTCTTCATGGAGCAGGCGCACACCTGTTCAGCACTCCTAATGCCTTCTGCCTTCCATCCCCTCCCCTCTTCCTCTGCTCTGCATACGTCTCTCTCCTACAGTTATGACTAGTTAGATGACAATCATAAAGGTTAAATGCCTACAGATTTCAGCAATTCGTGCTTGTTATGCAGTCTTTAAAGGTGTTAGACGGTGCTAGCCTAATCAGAAACTTGCAATTCAGCTTGAACTAGCACATCAATCAATGCATCAAAGCCTATTTTGTGCAGAAAAACATCAGCCACGCCTGATTATACGTAATTAAACAATGAGAGGAGATGGGGACATACTGAGGAAGGCGGCAGACTTGGGGAAAGTCCACTTCAAGCCATGTAATCACAATATTCTGGTTGGATACTTGAATTGCTTTAATTTTTAGATGTTTTATAATTGTTTTTTCTTTTTCCTTTTTGTGGAACTGGGGATTGAACTCAGGCCCTTGTGCTTGCAAGGGAAGCGCCTATTCTACTAAGCCATCTCCCCAGCCTGTTTTTTCTTAAAAAAAGACAAGCAACATTTATTTTGTGGTTTAGAATGCAAATAATTTACATGGAAAGAGGAATTCAATAAATTCATAAAAATAGAGGCATTTAGATTATGGGGTAACAGTTTGCCTTATGCTTTTTCCCAATACTATACAATTTTATATTAAGTACATGCTTTTAGATTAATATAAAGTATCATCTTATGTACAGACAAGATTGAAAAAACTACAAGGCATATGATGGGTAATATTTTTGATTCTTCCAAATTTAACCCTTTTCCATTTAAGTCTCCCTCTTTAAAAGTATTTTGCCTTTCTAGCTATTTCCCCTCTTCCATTTATTTTTTTCAGAAATTCTTACAATTAGCTGAGTTTGGCCTTGACTATGAAAAGTGGTCACTGGAAATTACTGCAGAAAACTATTTTAGCTAAAACTTTTCCTCCAAAATCTGATCGATATATACATGTGTGTTCACTGTATATCATAACTTTCCAACATGTTATTATAAACAAAATAAAAAATTTAAACATCTATAACAGTTGAAAAATGTTTATGGTGAGCAAACACCCATCTATTGGTTAGATCATTCAGACTAAAGCCAGTCCCTCAGCAATCACGTCCCATAATAGATGAGGACAATGTCTTACATGACAGGGCACTGAGAAACAAGTAGCTTTGGGGCCTGTTTGTTAGCTCAGTTGTTTAAGTGCCTGCTCATGCAAATGCAGTCAGGCGCAGGATACCACGGTTCACAGGATACTG